GGGAAAAAGTCTCAGTAGGAAATTCTTAAGTAGTAATGATTTGTAAAATGAATACATGACTCAGTGCATTTAAGGTACACACATAGCATTTTAAAAGCAGGTGTGGGACTTGTTGAGATACAGAGAAATATGTTGGCCATCTAAAAGCATTAGGATTATTGACTAAGACTTCACTCAAATGGGATCTAATGAAACTTTCTCTTGGTGTCTAATTTATCAAATTCAAATTCTTGGGTTTTTGTTTCAGAAGTAGATTTCATCATTTAATGATTCTTACCTTTCATCACTTCAGATATTATTACATTTATAATTCCTGGAATATAAATATGATATGCTAACTTTTTTGTGGGTTTTAGATAGCATTAATGTGGGTAGAATTAATTTCTCCATTCTCAAATTAGTATTTCTCATTCCAAATAGACTCTTCTGTGAAAGAAAACAGTTTTGTATTGTTTCTATAATGTTGGTTAAGGACAACTGAACTAATAGCTACATTGCAGAAACAGATATGACCAAGAATTACCTTAAAATTGATTCCATTTTTAAATTTTGTGGTGATAAAAAGAAGATATAACATTGCAAGTCATATATTACTATCCTTTTAAAAGTTGTGAGAAATCAATATGAGTAATTCTACATTTGTTAGCTAATGGTATGGCACAACCAAACATCTATCAAAATAAAAGAGTCCATATGCATACAAAATCAACTCTATCATAAATATCATTAGAAACTATAGAGTCCCAACTGCAGTCTTTGAGTAAGACTTTTAGAAAAAAAAATAACATTTTAAATGCATAGCTATTATAAACTCATTTGATATTCATTTTAATTGCCATGACTATAATGAATGTGCTTTGTATTCCAACAGATGACACAAGTACTACTACAGAAGTTGCAATATAATTCAGTCTTAGTTAAGAATGAGTAAATGGATATTTAAAATTGAATGTTACCAGGAATAGGGGAAAAACAATTATAACAACATCAGCTCCCTAAAAGAGCAAATTAAAGATTTTTATTAAGTTGTGTTCTTTCTTATTTGGACACTAGAGGCCCAGTGCATGAAATTCGTGCCCTTAGAGGGGAGGACTCTAAGCCCAGATTGTGAGAGGTCGCAGGCCAGGCCGAGGGACCCCACTGGTGCACAATCTGGGCCGGGGAGGGATGCAGGAGGTTGGCCAGCCAGGGAGGGACTGCAGGAGGGCTCCAGAGCACGTCCAGCCCGTTTCACTCAGTCCTGATCAGCCAGACCCCAGCACCAAGCTAACCTATTGGTCGGAGCATCTGCCCCTGGTCATCAGTGAAAGTCATAGCCATAGCGAGCAGTTGAGCAGCCTTAGCATAAAATTAGCACATTACACTTTGATTGGTTGAACGACAAGATGCTTAGCATATTAGGCTTTTATTTTATAGGATATACAGAACACAACAACACAAGAAAGCCTGCTATATCAACCAACCCTTTTCCTTGCCTCAGCTATTCTACATATTAGTGAGCCTGGAACACAAAAATTGAAAATGTGAAAAAATGACTCAGAAGGACAGGCTGAAATCCACTTTATAATATTTAGAGACTGGTCTATGAAAAAGATTTAAAAAGTACTACTATGCCAATTTATTTTAGCTGAAGGAGCAGATAATTATGTATGACATTTTATTCCAATGGGTAAGACATGTCCTAATATTCCCTTTAATCTTCTCCCACATGGAGGACTGACACCTTAAAATCTTACCTGAGAAGCCTTCAGGGCAGAAATGAAAGATGGTTTGTTAATGTCCTGCAGAGAATTACCCAGGGATGTTTGTTGAAAGCAAACATTCATGGGCCCAACCAAGTACTATCAAATCAGTTTGGGCTATCAGCACTCTTGAAAAGCTACCTAAAAATTCTGATGTACTACTCGTTTAAAAACACCTGCCTGGCCCAGGCCAGGTGGCTCAGTTGGTTGGAGCATCATCCCACACACTAAAAGGTTTCAGGTTCGATCCAGATCGAGGCACCTCAGGGAGACAACTGATCAATGTTCTCTCTCACAATGATGTTTCTCTCTTTTCTCTCTCAAATCAATAATCATATCCTCCAGTGAGGATTTAAGAAATAGTAATAATAAAATCAACTGCCTGAAGTTTGGATGAAGCAACATTTAAAACTATATATTTTTCATTTTGTTCCAATCAGTAAATATTAAGAACCAATGTGAGTGAAAATACTTAGAGGGTATCCAAAAGGCAAGAAGCATATGATAAATTGATTGTCAAGGTCAATTCATTAAGTAGAGTAATAACCTAGACATATCTGAAAACACAAAGAAAATAGTGTGTTTACTGTTCAGATGAACAATTCACTCTTTTTAAAAAATCTTTATTGTTAACAACTCACTCTTAATTTCAGTTTAGTAGTTCTTCCTCAGAACAGGTGTCTTGAAGCTGAAGTTGTATTTAGCTTATTATTAGAAATGTAAGTAAAGCGTTGTTTAAAATCAAATTTATCCTATTCTTCTGATGTTCGGGATGCTCTGTTTTAAAAGGAGGGTGATAGTGAGTGAGGCTGCTTGGTGGCTGGGGGCAAGGACAGAGGGTCTCAACGAGGGAAGAGAGGAATGAACTGCAAGACCAAAGCACTAAAGGCAAATTGCTTTTCTTACCTCCAACCTCATTCCCCTGGTGTCTGAACTGTAAGTTAAACTCATTTGGAAGTTGCATTGTGTGTGTTGTTGTTTTTTTTTATCCACCAAAACAAAATTGAAAAAGTCAAAGTTCACTTTGGAGTTTAATAGAAGGAGAAAATAAAGCAGATAGTACCAAGTTATTTTTCTGGTCAGCAATTTCCCGTTATCCTCATCCTCACCCCAGAACTGGAGACCAACTGATGGAAATCTTGGAATAAACTTCAATAAGGAGCCCTCACTCATAAAGCTGAGCGCAGACAAGCTGATGAGACTCATTCATTGTGCCTAGCACCCTCGATTTTTACAGTCCTTGGTTGACTTAGCGCTGGAAACAGGATCAAAAAGCAGTCTCTCACCCAGCAATGTCAGCATCGCTCGGGAACTCACTGCTCTCAGCCCGCTTGGGCTGCCATAACAGAACCTCACAGGCTCTGGCTTAAACAAGATATTTATTTTCTCACAGGTCTGGGGGCTGGAAGTCTAAGACCAAGGGGCTGTCCAGTTTGATTTCTAATGACAGCTCTCTTCCCGGCCTTCTCATATGTTCTCACATGATGAAGAGAGAAAGAGCTCACTGTTCCCCTCTTTAAAAGGCCACCGATCCAATCAGATCAGGAAACCAGACTTAAGACCTCATGTCTAATTTTCTCCAAAAAGCCCTACCTCTAATACAGGTTGGGCGTTAGGACCTCAACCTGTGAATTGGGACAGGGCACAATCCAGTCCATAGGATGCATTACCTATGCAAATTCACCAGTCACTCCTCAGACCTGCCGAATCAGAGACTCAGGAAGGGGGCCCTGCAGTCCGTTTTATTCGCCTCTGGAGGTTACGCTAAGGCACATGACATTCTGAGAAGCCCTGGCCTTCAGGAGAAATCCCAACTCCAGGGCATGGCATCTGTGTCCTCCAGCTCTTCTCTCCAACCAGTTTCCTACTGCTCTTCAACACCAGCTCTGCTTTGCTCCCAGAATGGCCTAAGGTCATTCATGTTCTCCCTTCCAGACTTTGCTTATGCTATTTCACCAGCCTCGAGCCTTTCTGCCACAATCCTCTCTTTCTCCCAACAGTGGATGCTCTAACTGCCTAAACCAATTGTCTTCCTATTTTACTTTTCTGGAGTTCATAGGTTACACTCGTCTGTAATTTTAGCACTAGGCTTTGGGCATAAAGAACACTCAAGTCTTCATAATATTGTGTACTGTTTTGCTTGTCATTCTTCTCTGTAAGTTACTCCTTACAACACCAGCTCTGATACAACATGATTTTAGCCATTGACCAGTCCATTGGTCTCTGACATAATGCCACTTGCAAAATTGCTTAATAGTAAAAAAAATAATCAACATACTATTTGCTATTTATTAAGTCATTGAGTGCATCAAACCCTATAATAAATAATATATAACCTCATTAGATCCTCACAATTACCCTGAAATAAGCATCATGATCCCTATTTGACTGAAAAGATGTTGGACACTAAGGAATGAATTCAATGAACTCCCCTAAAGTCACACACCTGGGGAGAGCAAGGCGGAGCCAGCCACTGTTTCTCTGAATCCCAGCATCCTTTATTCCCACGCTTACACTATAGTTAGGGGCACTGACTTTCCTATCAACATGTTCAATTGTCTGCCAAGAACCCCAGAACAGATGGCTTTTGGGGTGAAGGCATTTCCAGTATATCCTTTGGAAACACAGATCATCATTCTATTTTACTTTCTCACAGCTGCCAGCATTCTCCACTCTGGGCTATATGCTAGCAAGTCACACCTGTTGGATTGTTTGGGCAATTCTAAGCACCAGCTGAGACCGTAATTAAAAGTAACATTCCACTGGCAGCCTACCTGGGGTGTTCAACAACCTGGACATCTTGCAGAAGTAGGAGACGTACTGCTCGCAGTGCTCGGCGCTGCTGGTGATGGCGCTGATCTGGTCCATGGAGGCGCTGTACACGAGCTGGGTCACCGAGTACTTCTCCGGGGTGTAGCCCACCACCGTGGTCTGCATCTGTAGATCGTGAGACACGATGGTCCACACTTTGTCCTCTGTGGGGAGAAAAATGCCACAGCAATGGGTCATTAGTATGCAAATGCTCCCTCCAATGCCAGAAAATAATTGAGGTACACTTTCACTGGTATTTTCCAGGAGCTGATGTAGACAGAGTTAAGTAGAGTATTTCTTAAAGTGACCACTACATACCTAAGTTCTGTTTACATGAACAAAGTAGAATTCTTAAAGTGACCACTACCCTTTTCTCATACCTAAGTTCTGTTTACATGAACAAAGTAGAAAATGAATTTTTTTTAAAAAAGAAAAACAAACACAAACTATATCCTGCAGGTGAAACAAATAGCCTGGGTACCTGGTGGCTGCTCTGATGCCACCAGCGTGGAAAGGGAGGCCCACTGTGTTCCCACTCCTCCTGACGCGGGCCCATCACTCCTCCAGCAGAACAGCATTCTGCTCCTTCCTAAACTACCTCCACTCTCTTACATCTCTGGATCCCGTGCGCGCAGAATCTTCCTCCTCATCTTGTCAACGAATGTTCTCCCCAACCTGACCTTTTGGGTGAAATTAGACACTGCATTCTCGGGTATTGAAATGCCCTACAGGTGAGAAAATGCGCATGAGAAACTATCTTGGGCATTTCAGTGTGTGAAGCGGAGAAGCAGATGTAAGGATGATGTGGCTAAATTAAAACCAGTGTATGTCTGAATTGGAAGCATCGCTATGTGGCCATGATTCTGATACTCTGCTCAAAGCCCTCACCTGGCACCTGGTTTTGTTCGGAGTAAAAGTCTAGGTCTTCAAATAGCTGAAGGTCCTCGATCATCCCAGCCCCCCTTGTCGCTTCTCCCTCTGGCCCTGCTACTCTCCCCCTGGCTCATTGGGTTCCTGCCACACTGACCTCCGTGCACGCCTCCAACACGCCAGGCAGGTCCCTCCTGGAGCCTTTCTGTCTTCTCCCCTGTCTTTGCTCCAAGGCGAACCTTTCCTTTGCTGAGTCCCGCCCACCCCCACCCCACGCCCCACTCACAGCTGCCTTCCATCTCCCCATGCGCTTTGTTTTTCTCCATAGCATTGATCTCATCTGACTTAGTGCACATTTTAATTATTTTTTTGTCTGTCTCCTCACATGAGATGGAAAGAAAGCAGGGATTGTTCTCAATGCTGTGTGCAAGGTGCTTAGGATGGCGATAGGCATATATGGGGCCTTCAAAAATATTAGTTGCATAGAAAAACGAGTTTCAAAAAATAAATAGGATACAAATACTTGATGTAGAAACTTTTTAAAATCACTTTGACTCCAGTTCTGCTCTGTTATGATGATCTGAGCAGATTCTAGGAGGCCACCTCTTTTTTTAAAAGATATATTTTATTGATTTCTTACAGAGAGGAAGGGAGAGAGATAGACAGTTAGAAACATCAATGAGAGAAACATCGATCATCTGCCTCCTGCACATCTCCCACCGGGGATGTGCCCGCAACCAAAGTACATGCCCTTGACCAGAATCGAACCTGGGACCTTTCAGTCCACAGGCCAACGCTCTATCCACTGAGCCAGACAAGTTTTGGCATAGGAGGCCACCTCTTAAACTCCACCAAGCAATAATTTCCCTTTATCTGTAACAACAGGCCTCTGCATTGAACACTTTCCAGCTGCTCTTAAATCAATGGAAACAAATCCTGTTACGGTGACTCCTACATTAATTTATTCTCTATAGGATAATGATATTTCCAGTTTTACCTTTGGCCTGATCAGATCTGCCTTCCTTTAGCTCCTCTGATACAGCAAAGCAGCTATAATATATTTGAGTAATTCTGTCATTTCTTTTTTTTGTTTAAATATATTTTATTGATTTTCTACAGAGAGGAAGAGGGACAGAGAGCTAGAAACATCGATGAGAGAGAAACCTCAATCAGCTGCCTCCTGCACACTCCCCACTGGGGATGTGCTCGCAACCAAGGTACATGCCCTTGACCAGAATCGAACTTGGGACCCTTGAGTCCGCAGGCCGACGCTCTATCCACTGAGCCAAACCGGTTAGGGCAATTCTGTCATTTTTGACATGATTCTGACACCAAACTGATTGTCATTTATATCCAGGCCTGCAGATTTACCTTCACCTAATTAAAGATCCATTAATTAAATTAGGTTACAATCAGACTTTGACATAGAATCCCTGAATCTTAAATTCTACCCCCCACTTTTTTAAATCCTTACCAGTAACCTTGCCCTGTAGCAATACTTCAGAACTCTCTTTCTTTAACTCGTGATGGAATAGCATTCTAATCGTACCCTTTTCCAAAGTATAATGATGCCTTTTTTGATATACACAAAATAAAGTTCATAAAAGGAAACATTAAGCAAGTAAAAAAATGGTCATTCACTTATGTTCTCTGTCAATAATTGTAATGACATTATTCCATTTGTTAATATTGATGAGTTTCTAATATTTTGGTCTTTTTGACCCTAAACTTCCCCTCCCTGCACACATTTCAGTATCTACCCACTGTGCACCATCTTCTTTACACAGCTGACCCTTGAACAGAATGGGGGTGAAGGTTGTTGACCCCTGTGCAGTCAAAAATCTGTGTATAACTTTTGACACTCCCCAAACTTAACTATTAATAGCCTACTATGGACCAAAAGCCTTACTGATAATATAGACAATTGATTAACACATATGCTATATGTTATATGGATTTTATGCTGTACTAGAGGCCCAGTGCATGAAATTTGTGTACTTGGGGGGGGGCGTCCCTCAGGGGGCCTGCACCCTCTTGCAGCAGGGAGTGGGCCTAAGCCGGCAGGCGGACATCCCCAAGGGATCCTTAGCACTGCCGCAGAGGCGAGAGAGGCTCCTGCCACCACCGCTGTGCCTGCTGGCCATGAACCCAGTTTCTGGCTGAGTAGCACTACCCCTGTGGGAGCACACTGACCACTAGGGGGAAGCTCCTGCATTGAACATCTGCCCCCTGATGGTCAGTGCGCATCATAGCAACTGGTCGTTCTGCCATTTAGTTGATTTGCATATTAGCCTTTTATTATATAGGATGCTTACAATAAAGTAAGCTATAGAAAAGAAAATGTTATTAAGAAGATCATATATAAGAGAAAATACTGTTTCACTATTTGTTGAAAAACCTCCCACTTCAAACCCTTTGTGTTCAAGGGTTATCTATGTTTGTTTTAAAGCCCACTTGTTCATTTATTATTGAGTCCCTACTTTATGACAGATATGGATGTAGGCACTGGGGAAACCACAGAGTGAAAAGCATTCATAAATTTTTTGTAGCTTACATTCTTATGTTTTAGGGGGGCAAAACATAATAAGCCAAAAATTACAGTTTTATATGTATATATGTGTGTGTGTGTGTGTGTGTGTGTGTGTGTGTGTGTGTGTGTAGTTAGTTAGTTAGTTAGTTAGTTTGCAAGTGAGCATGGTGAGGACTAAACTAAATCAGGGAAGGGAAGAATAGACTATGTGTATGGGGATTGCATTTTTAAACACAGAGGAAATGTCTCATTTAGATAAATAAGGTCATTATTAAGCAAGTCATGTGACTGGGGAAAGGATTCCAAACAGAGGGATGCAAATACAAATATTCTAACTCTGGAGTATTGTTGGTATTGTTCAGGTGTAGGAGGAGGTCCATGAGTGAGGAAGAAGGGAAGGATAGCAGGTGAGGAGGTCAGAGATGTAATAAAGATGGGTTGGGTGTGACCTCAAGTAAGATGGAAAGCTATTGGTGTTGGAAATCTGGAGCCAGTTAAAGTAACATGCCTTACCTTATTATCTGACACTATTCTTTGCATCAATAACATTCTACCTTAGAAAAGTTTTGAAAAATATACATATATCTTTATAAACATTTAAAACTTTTAATGTCGTGGCATTATAAAAAGTAATACATAAGCTCCAATTGATGGCATAAAGCAATTACTTTTGATGCATCTTGCAAATTATTTTTTAATGCTTGCATATTACACATTGAAATGATTCCTTTGGAGCCATTAAAGCTTAAGTCATAAATGTATGTTAAGCATTTTCCAAGTATCTCATATCTAGAAGAAAGAAGGCGGTTATGGAGTATAGATTTTCTTTATTTTGGTAGTATTTTATGTTTTCCATCACCATTTACCCCTTCTATGCCCTCTCCCACCTGCACGCCCACCTCCACAATCACCACACTATTTTCCATGTCTATTAGTTCTCTCTCTCTCTCTCTCTCTCTCTCTCTCTTTCTTTCTCTCTCTCTTTTAATCACTCCCCTCCAAGACCCTTGACCAGAGCTGTCTGCCTGCTCTCTATCTATGAGTTTGCCTCTACTTTGCTTGGTAATTCTGTTTGTTCATTAAATTCCATATATGAGTGCCATTTTCTAGTATCATGGGGGAAGGAAGGGACTCTTGCATGAATTTCATGCATCAGGCCTCTAGTTTTAATATAAAGCCAATCTGAGCTGACTTCAGTGGGAAAATGGTTTGTGTCCTATACATCTACATATGTATTTACATGTTTTTGATTTTCAAACTATATTGCTGTAGTGTTAACAACCAATTTGTTAATCTGAGAGCTTTTGTTCACCTTCAGTCATATAAGTATGAAATAATCTTTAACAAGAGAATATTATATTATAAACTACCTAAATTGAAATGGTATATAAAACTTGTTTGATGAAAATGGCCAACATACAAATTCCTTAGCAGCCTTGTTACCGATTCTAGCTACTCTTCAAGAATGATTGTGGGTCTCTCACTCTTAGAACAACACAACAGGAGCTGAACTATAACATATGCTTCACCTAAGATTTTCCATATTGCACATATGCCTTGGCCTGCTGGAAAAACTAGTGACTTCAGTTTTGTATACCCTTACATTTCTCCTCTGTATTTCAATAACTCTGCCTGTGGCTTTCTTTGGACATAGAAGTCTTTTTTTAAAAAATATATTTCTTTATTGTTTTCAGAGAGGAAGGGAGAAGGAGAGAGAGATGGAAACATCAATGATGAGAGAGAATCATTGATTGGCTGCCTCCT